TTTAAAAAATTAAAATAATGATTGTCCATCTGAAACGTGTCTTGCTATTTTTTTTTATATCAAATAAATATTATATGCATGTATGCAAGTATAATATGCCTAAAACGGTAATAAATGCAAAATATGCTATTATATTTCGCTACTATATACATATGTACATATACTTATGTAGACACGAAGTACGAATGCATATTATAAAATCCTACATTCGAATATAATTTGTGCATGTAGTACAAACAAGTGTTGCAATTTTTGTTGTTTTCTTATTACTTTTAAATAAAAAATGTATACATACATATATAAATATAAGTATATTCCTTGTCTATATTAAGATAAAATATAATCAGAAGGTGAGCTACAATGGAAATCATAATAATATTAAGCTACTAATATATTCAGTTCAACATTGTGAACTGAATTTCTTGTGCCATGAATGAAGTTTACAGCAGAGTTTTAAGTTTTTAACCTCGTTTTTTATTGCTTCTTACTTATAAAAAAAGAGTAAATTTTAATACCGTTTTCTATACATTATATAAAAATAATGTTAATTTATTATTTTAGATTTGAAATCCAATATTGTTACGACTTAAATTTAATTAGTTACAATAAAAATTTTTATACGCCTACATAATGAATGGCAATTAAAAGTCATTACAATTTTTTTAAATTAAAAAATCCATTATTTTCTTTGTACTTAGTTTCCCGTTTTGAAACAGTTACGGAATAATCGAGAGTATAAATTATCTCCATGAAATCGTTTATTAATACTCTTTTTTGTTTTACTAACCCAACATTTTATTTTTAATTGTTCATGCGCAATACAATTTTTATTATGCCCTCACTTAACGTACAAAAAAATTTCACTCACTTTAGCCACTTTGTTCACAATGCTCGCTACTTAATGTGAAAATACAAACGAAAAAAAAAAAGAAAAACTCTCACTTTCCATTATAAAGTAACACAAAGTATGGCTGACGGGTGGTCCTCCCAACAAAATGTATAAACCTAAAGAGCATATAAAAACAGGGAGAACATAATAATAACAATAATAATAAAATAAACAGTCACCACATTTTGTCATTATTCTTGCTAAGTCAAAAAAATCTGAAGAGATAAAGAAATTTTCTTTAAAATTTTTCATTTTTCGAGTGAGAAGAGAATATAAATTTAAAAATTTAAAAGAGAATCTCTTAGTAAACGAAGAAAACACTAAGAGATTTGTGCAAAAATGTTTAACTTAAAAACATAGAGAGAAGAGAATAATATAAAAAGAAAAACGAAATTCGTAATAAATATGAGAAAAGAAAGTGCAAAAAAATAACTCGATTATTTAAATTGAATTGAAAATCTCAAAATTATTGTTTTTATTATTTTCGTAATCGTATGTAATATTCTCTTCAATAATAAAAAGGTTCCCCTCATTTTGTTTAACAATATTATTCGGCATGCGTGCAATTCGTTTATTTTGTTTGTACTTTTGCAATTAAATTATAAATCCAATAATCATTTATTTTCTTTCTCGTTTCCTCCAAGGTACTTGTATTTATAATAATACAATATTTTAATACCAAATACTAAGAAAACATTGTACTGTTGCTTTCTTTCTTTCTCACTTTTGTTCTTCATGAAATTGATTATGCTTTGACTGAGTCAATTGAAAAATCATTTTTATCTTATCGTTGTAATCTTATCATATTATCTTTATCATTGTTTTTATGTTTTTTTAGTAATCTTTTAATAAATTTTAAGTAAAAATGGATTGCTTTTGAATTGTAATTTCTAAAAAAAATTTGTTATTCTTCCGTTTCTATATTATATTATTATTTTGTTAACATTTTATAGGAAATTAGGAAATTAGAAAAATAAATAGTCAATTAGAAATTTTTAGTATGACAAATCTTAGTATGACAAATTGTTAGATCTATATGACATCAAAAAAAATCTACTATTTTTCCTGGAAATCTATTGAATATTATTTTCAGAGCCGGCATTGGGCCTTTTCTATCTACTAAGTATTAATTATAGCCATTAGCGTGGGTCAAAACTATCACTGTTTTAAAATAAAAGATATACCTATTTGTATCAGAAATTCTGAAACAGAGAGCAAATAATTAAATATTCGTAAAATGTATAATTTTCTCAAAAATATACTTTTTATATGCAACATTGATTGTATACAAATATTTTTATATGAAATAGTCATTAATTTTTGTTCTGTAGCAAAGATACTCGTATTATTTTCAATATTATAAAACTATGCTGGTAACCTTATTCAATTTTTTCTATTATTTTGAAAAACAACAAAAATGCACAAAATTATTTCAAATAAATAAATTCAACACAAAAAAATTATTACATTATATATTTTTCTTTTATACATTTTAATTTATTAGATCAAATAAAGGAAGACAACTATATTATAGAATGAATCAAAGAGAATTTAAAGTAACAAAAATTTAAACAGAAAAAATAGAAAAATAATAATAATATCACAGGTGCGATTAATGTATAAATAGTAACTATGTATATATTTAATGAATAACAATGCCTACAGCACATTTGTATTTTGGTATTATAAATTTTACTCAAAAATGTGAGCACACCAAAATAATTTTTTTAAAATAAAATTTTACCTCTTGTCATTTAAATAAATAATTTGGAATTGAATAAGATATTTTCTCACTAGTTTAATGTACGAAAAAAAAACAGAAAAAAAAACAAAATAAGGAAACAAAATATTTGAGAGAAAGTTAGTTAGTTAAACGTCAAATTACAATATAATATAATGTTGTAACAGTAGCAAAACACATTTTTCCCCTGATAATAGGAAATTTTTTTAATAGAGAGATTTTAAAAGCACGATGTTAAGTATATTAGTTTTTATATTGTGGAAAAAGTCCAATTTCAACCATATAGTATAAAAATTCAACTGTTAAATGACTAACTAAAAAATACATACAAATATACATGTGCAAATTGTACGTATACTTGGTAAATTTTGACAAAATAAATTTCTATATAAAAAGAGAAAATTGCCAAAGTAAAATTTTGTGTTTTGAATATTCTCTCCATTTTATAGTACTACAATTTTAAATATTCAATATTCTCTTCAGATTAAATATATTATTATGTGAGATTTAACGTTATCTTTTCTCTTTTCTCTATTTTATTCAATTTTATTTTCTTATTTTTGCACTTTTTGGTTACGGGGAGATTATGTTATATTGTCGTTGTTTTTTTTTCCTTTTTGTGCTTATATTTTTTGCCTTTTGTTTGAAAACGGAAAGAAAATAATTGGAAAATTTTCAAGTATCGCGCAATATTATTATTATTTTTCTTATTATATTTTTGTATTTTTTGTTTTTTTTTTTTATTATTTGCTCGACATATTTATTATTATAAATTCTGTATTGTTGTTATATACGATAGTGTTGAATTTATACAAAAATCAAATTCTCTCACAAAAAATTTAGTACGAGTTGTACTTTGAAGCGAATCGGTAGTGCAAAGAGGAAAAATTTTTTTTTTAATAATAAAATAGTAAAAAAAAAAATAAATAAAATAATTAGAGAAAAAAAAAAATCATTTCTTTTTTTTTTTTTGGAAAAACTTAAAACGGCGACGGATTTTTTAAGAGACAAATTATTATAAATTAAAAGCCTATAATTTTCTAAATAAAATTTAATAATAATAAAAGTGAAATTTATTAAAATATAAATATATTGTTCGCAAATTACATTTGTGGCATTATTAAATTGAATTTTTCGTTTTTATTATTTTTTATTCTGCTTTAAAGTAAGAATTTATATCGTAAAAATATATGTATATTATATACATACATATATAAATATATCAAATGAATTAATATCAAAAAAAAAATATATTTTATATATGTAACATTAATGCATATATATATAAATATTATTGTATTACCTATACATATTGTATATTTTATCGGAAAACAGAGTGCAATTTTTAAAAATTTTATTCCATCATTTTTAATATAAAAAATTATAAAATATCAGGAATATTTTTGATTTATTTTTTTGTAAAATCAATTAATTATACTTTTGCAAATTAAAATTAATTAAATATATTTATTATACTATTAAAACTTGAAATTAATAAATAATATTTTATGCAAAAGAAAAAAAAAAAGCAGAAAACAAGTAAAATACACTGAGAAAAATTATATTAGAATTGCTTAATTTCTAATTATCGTATGTAAAAGAATTTTAATCAATATTATGTGTTTAAACGTAAATAATATATACAAAATAAAGAAGTTAAATAGAATGAAAGTATGAAATAATTAAAAATCATATTGAATGAAATTAATTTGTTAAGTATATGAATAAATTTTTGATGAATGAAATTTTGAAAAATTATAAATGAAGAAACAAAAAACTGATATAATAAAAATTTTAAGTAATTTTAATTAAATAAATGGAAAAGTTTTATATATATTGAAAATTTATTAAAAAAAAATTTTTGAAATTTTAATATTAAACTTTGATTTTTCTCTAATAATTGAAATTTATTAACCAATATTCATACATATGTAATACACGATTTATTCGAATTAAATATTAAATTTCAATATTTAAAAATCAATAAATATAAGAAAATTGAATGGGTTAAAAAATTCTTAAAGAATTTTCTTAGTTTTCAATTGTATATCATTTTAAATAGATATTATAACCAAAATATCAACAAAGAAACAAATTATTCTGAAAAAAAAAAGAAGAGAAAAAACAAATAAAAAAAATTTAATTATTCGGGTTCGTTTTGTATTTTTGGTGAAAATCGGTGAAAATTGTATATTGAAATTTTTCATTTAAAACTCTTAATACAAATAAATAATTTTTTTCTGAAAATAATTTGAAATTATTTAAAAAAATTTAATATAAAATTACTATAAAGATTTAAAATTCATAAATTTCTAATAGTGAAATTTAAAGAAAGGAAAAAAAAAATTTTATGTTTATTTATCCTTTTTCCTTTTATTGAAAACAAAAAATTTCAAAATCAAATTCAATATTACACACATATCTTTTTTGAAATAAATAATAATAATAATTATATTGTATAGAAATTTTTATAACACACAAAGAGAAATAAATCAATAAAATCATAACAATAATAATAAGAAATAAAATAAAAAAAGAAAAACAGAAGATATATAAGGCAAAAGAAGAAATTGTATAAACAAAAAGAAAAAAAGAAAAACATAAAAAAACAAGGAGGAATACAATATCTGTCAAAAAATTCCAACTTTAATAATATCAAAATAAAAAGTACTCATTTACATATCTATATAGTACATAGGTATATATTATAGTATAACAAAATAAAAATAGGGTAAAAATTCCGAAAGAAGTGAAAATTTAATTTAAATTCCATTAAAAATATAATATGTATGAAATTGTTAATAAAATATAAAAAAAAAAATATTAAATTGTAAGAAAATTTAAGGAGTAGAGTGCGAATTCTCTATACATTTTTCATTTACTAGAATTATTAGAAAATACAAAAAAAACTCTTATAATCAATTTTATATATTTAATTTTTTTATTATGACCTCCTTTACATTTCATAATTCTTTTGACTTCTTTGCATATTTATGCAATTTACAACTTTTCTAATATTTACTCTTGTTTCTATACAATATTTTATCTATTTGAATACCAAAAACAAAATACCATATTATAATTATATCTACCCTACTGATTCCTGTTTTTTTTTTTTTAACACACTGAATGCATGAGTGTTTGTTTTTCTAATGAAAATAATATTATATTCAACACAATATAGTGTGCATTTGAATGTATATATATCTAATGTCTTATAGACTCTCTAAACAATGTTTATTATTAATATATACTTATATATATATATATAATAATTATGTTTTATAACATATATGTACATATATCGTGTTTATACTGTTTCAAATTTGAAGCCATTAAATAATTTTCCTCTTCAAAAAATGAAATGAAAAGCAAAAAAAAAAAAAAAAAAAACATTTTTCCCAATATTCTTGTTTTTCGTGTGCCTTTAAAAAGATTTTCACCATTATGCTTCTAAACTAACCATCAAATCATATTCTCTTGTCTGCAATATTACATTGCAGGAAAAAAATGAAATAGAATTACATTATTTCTCTGTTAAGAATATTATGAGTTTTTTTTTTTTTTTTTTTTTTTTTAATATTTCCCGGAGAACTCAATATTTTTTTGTTATCCTATATTAAAAGAGAGAAATTCATTTGATTTTCATTTTGGATAAACCACAAAAAAAATGGTGAAAATTTTGATGCGAATCTTTTACATTTTATTACTTTGTATAACAGTTAAAAATAAATTCTTATTGCGATACAGAATTTTGACTTGCTTCACTAATGTAGTTATGTTATATTTTTTAACATGCTCTTTACATATTATAATGTTATCATTTTAAAATGTATAAAGTAAATACTTAATATAAGTATAACAACTATTATGTTGAATGAGAACAAAATTAATTTTTAACAGATTTAACATTAGTTTTTGTATAGGATCCTTCCGTTCAGGTTTTTATTTTTCGATATTATTCTTAAAATGAGAATAAAATTAAAAAAAAATTCATATATATTAATTTTTATAACGCACTTTCTTATTTAAAGAATAGTTTTTTTTTTTTTTAAATAATAAGAAATTTAAAATTTTAAAGTGATAATTTGATTTTGTGTTATTGGAAATTTAAAAAATTGAAATTGAAAATTAATGGGTTTAGTTTATAAATGTTAAAATTTTTGGTAAATTTCACTTCAGTTTTTAGCACTAACACAGTTAATCTGAATTTAGAACCATAAAAAAAAAGAATATTTTTAAATAAATTTGAAATTAATTAATTGCAAATATTTTCGCAAAAACCAATATTCTTGGAAAATTATATGAAAATTAAGTTGAAAAAAAAAAAAAAACAAAATTTCATCAGTTGTTTACAAAAAAAAAAAATAAAAAAAAAAATGACAATAATTTTTTTCAATTTTTGACGTTTCTTCTGTCATTTTCTTAAAAATGTTGTTCTGATTCTACACGTAACTCTAGAGCTACATGCTAGTAAATTCTCCATTTTCACTAATATACCAACACATTATTATGAATATTATATATATATACAATAATTTTCTCTCTATATTCCGGTTTATTCTCTTCTATACTTCTATTCAATATTATTCTCTTTGAAATATAAAAATTTTCTCACCATTATAGTTTTCCACACCAATATAATCTCATATTGGAGTAAAAATAAATTTTCTTTTCAAATCAAATTGTTTTCAATACAAAAATAATACAAAAAAAAATTTAAATAAAATCTTCATTTAAAATTAATTCTTTTGTAATTGTAATTAAAAAAATGTTGTTTAAAGAAAAAAATTTCAATAATCAGAATTAAAATTAGTGTTCGTTCGGTTTTTGTGAGAAAAAATCTGTGAATATAATTATAAATTTTATAAATGAAATTTTGTTCTAAATTTAATTCCTGTATATAAAATATCCCAAAATATCCTTATAGAAGAAGTTTTATTATAATGTCAAAGAAAATAACATAATATTTTGTTGTTGTTTTTGCCAATTTTAGGTTATACGACTTATCTGTCAAAAAAAGTGTTTTAATTTACATATATATACATATAATGTACGTAAATATATATAGTAATGTTAAGTGGTAAAAGCCGCCATTATTGTTATTATATTTAAAGGGAAAATACAAAGTAATGAAGAAAAAAAAAATTTCAAATAAATAAAGCAAAAAATAGTTTTGTAAATACGTGTAAAATATTATAGAACGGGATTTACATTATCTAGTTGTAAATTATTTTCTAAAAATAAATATAAAATATTAAATTTGCTTTTTGTAAAATTACAGTACATAAAGTTATTTTGGTAAGAAAATTTTTGATTTAGATTAGTATGTATGTAGGTATTTTGTGTTCCCTGTTATCTAAAACCTTAAAATAAAAATGTTTTTTTTTAAAAAATTTTACTCACGTTCTTACTTAGTTACTCTTTAAAATGTATAAAAGAATAACGTATATATATGCATATGTATATATATATATAATATTATATTTTATAGAAAATTTATGTACTTATGTACATTTTTATTAATAAAATTTTTTTTCTATGTATAATGCAGAAACTAATACATTTAAAAATAGAAAATTTTATATAATATTATGTACTCTAAATATATAAGTTGGTACTTGAATATTTTATTTACATTGTTGCTTTTACCTTGTTTAGGTTTATCTATTACTTTTTTTAATATATCCTTTTAGATACTTGTACTTCTAGATGCATATATACTATACGTATATATAAGTATTTAATGTAATTTTTCCCGTTTTTATAATACTTAATACTTAGAGCTCTTATAGAGAATGCAAAAAACAAAAAATGTTTGTGTCTATTTTGTCCACTTATAACTTACATATAAGTATACAAGTATATATATTTATTATAAAAATACATACATATATATATATGCATGTTATACTTGTGATTATAGTACTACATATATATACATGTACATTGTGTTGAATGAAATTGAATGAAACCCAGAAAATAATTTTATACTTTATGTAGGTATACGACATATGTACATACATATTATGTTATACTTTTTATTTTCACTTATATTTATATAAGTAAGCCGCCTTTCAATACTTTATTGTATTTAAATATGTGTATATATACCGTATTGTCGTCGCTGATATTCCGTAGATTTTCAAAGCAAGTTGGAATATTAATTGTATACAATGTGTTTTACATAATATTATATTTAGTAAATTAAATTTCTAATAAAGGCATGATTGAAAAAAATGAGTATAACAGTTTGCTTAATCTGATATACATAATATAACAAATAATTTCGTCTACATACACCATAAAATTGTAATGATAAAGTGAGTATTTTCCAATATTGTTTTTAAATCATTGAAGTCTTTTCGAATCCCATACTTAATATGAAATGATTTTTATAATTATAGTAACTAAATTTTACATTCAGTCATTTATTTTTATACTTATCGTAAAAGATAAGCATACCTATACTTAGATAAACAAAGTGATTTGTATTTTATTTTATGTACATTACCGTATGCATATTTTGCTTGCATATACTTACATATTTAATCATTACTTCTGTATATTGCATAAGTATATACTTATATATTATGTACCTAGACCTATGTAATATTATTCAATAAATTTAATATTGATTAACAATTTATTGAATTCAATATTATTGAAATTGAAATTGAAAATCGTAATAAATTTGATTCATTATTAAATTTCTTATACTTAATATCGTAAACGAAAATATTTAAGAATAGAAGAGAATTTACATTTTGGACGTATCAAAACTGAAAATATTATTATACTTATAATTTGATATTTTAATTTGAAAATTTCATGCATATTAAAGCCTCTTTAACCACAAATGAAAAGAAAAATAACCCCAAACAAGTTTACAGAAACATTTTGTTTGCTAACGATTCCCTTTAATAAAATCAGAATAACATTTACGATATGTTTGCTATAGAGAGTACACATATTGAAATCACAAATCACAATATCAAAAGAAAAAATATTTAAATATTTCCATAGCAACTTGTACAAAATATTTTATCGAACAAAAAAACAAAAAAGAAATTTTCAATTTCAAAATTTTTGAATTTCAAATACAAAAAAAAAATTTTTACCCTATTACAGTAGGCTTTGAGATTTAAGTGTCATATAATTTTATTCGTTTAATAAAATTGAATAAAATTTAAGAATTTTTCTAGAACAAAAATTTTAATAAAAAATTTCAAATTTTAATTTTACAGATAAAATTATACATAAATAAATATATTCTACTAAAATATATAAATGCTATATAATTAAAATACAAAAACAAAAAATTAATATAACAAAAAAGAAAACTGCAAGACAAAAACAATTTTTAAATTAAAAAGGTGTCAAAAAGGTGGTCAATCGCGAGAACAATTGAAAAATCTTCTAAATATCAAAAATTTTAAAATAAAAGGAGACAAAAAAATCTTTACAAAATTTCTCTATTAAACGGGCATCAAATTAATAAATTCAAAACGGCTACAATGGCATTTAATGGTGGCGGCGGCGGGGGTGGCACAGGTGGTGGTGGCATTGTACAAGATGGACCACAAAATAAAAAAATTAGAACAGGCGGTGGTGGTGGACAATCAGGAAATGATTCAAATGATCCACAAATGAGGGTAAGTAAATTTTTTTCTTTTAATTTTTTTTTGTGTTCAATTAAAAATTAAATTTGATTAATGATTGTACATTATGTAACCATTATTATATAAAAAAATTTCTAAAAATTAATTCTTTAGTCGTGGACAAAAAAAAAAGTAAAATTTTTTTGGAAAATTTTAAATTTACGGAAACATGATTGCTTTGTTTTTTCTGAAAATTGAAAAATTTTAAGAAATTCCATTGACAGTTTAAACTTTAAATAAAATGTTCGAGTTAGTTTTCAAATAGCACCTACTGTGTTATTTCAAAATTAGATGTCTGTATACAATTTCGTTATTTTGCATATCAGTAACAAATTTAGTTCAAATTTATTTTTTCTTGATTTTTCCAAGCCTATAAAATAAACAGACTGTGGACGTTTGAAAATAGTAATATTTTCGATTGCAGGATTGTATATATAGAATTTCGAAAGCAGCAATTTTATATCAATCTAAAATAAATCTTTACTTACCAACTAGTTTCTATTGGAGAGAAATATTTCTTTCTTAAATAATTTAAAATCTACATTGAAATTTTGAAAATTATGAATATTTTTCTATAAAATTGAATTCGATGTGAATAATTAAAAAATTAAAATTGGCCATTCCTATACCCGGACAAATTATACATATACTAACTACATATACATACATATTTTCCTATTCTTATACAATAAGAATCTGAGAATTGAAAATATTTCAAAAATATTTTGTGAATTTAATTCAATCATATTGAAAATCACAACTGTTTTAATTAATTTAATAAAACAATTTGTTTGCAATAAGTAAATATTATTAGAGAAACTAGATCCATTTAAGTATATAAAAATATTAAGTATGCAAAAAAATTAAAATAATTATGCAGTTTTACTTAAGTTCTGAATTTATTTCAACAAATTTTAAGTTAAAGTTCAAATAATATTCATTATTAGTTTTTGTGAGTCAGTTTAGCTCATGAACCTAAAGGCGATTTTAGTATTTGGGTTTCCAATTTTTAAGGCTAGAAGTCAAATTGAATAATAATTACTAATTCGAATTTTCCAATTGTTTTTATTAATTAAGTATTTTATGAATTTTTATGAAAAAAATTTTTAATGTTAATTATTCAGAGAAACAAAAAATCTTTTATTTTTTATTTAAAAATTTTTCGCTGAGTTAGAAAATTTACATTTTAATAAAATTTTAATATTTTAATTAAGAAACTCACTTACAGATTTTAACTCATATAGAACGAAATTAAATCTACAGTTGGGCTAAAATTGCCTGCCCTGGAGATTTAGATTGTATAATACTTCTTTCATACCACAAATTTCTACATAGCGGTATAATATAGTACATATCAGTAATTCGCTAAATAGCGGTATAATAATACTTTTTCGTATTTGAATAGCGCAGCATATAATATTGTTTTCAGATATAAGTAAATATTAAAATTCGAATACCACAATTATTTTTGGATTAATATTTTTAAAATTAATTTTTCGCTTTGATTTAATTAAATTCACATCACAGATTTGTCCCAATACTTTTGTTTGTATATGGAATTAATTAAAATACTTACATTTGAAAAAGCTTAGCTATACAAAAAATATTCTAACAATATTGAAACGTGGCTTGAAATCGCTCAGTTAATTAAAATTTTTTTATTATTTATACCGTATAATTATATTTGTACACATGTGTTACAATTAGCTATGAGAACACTTTTCTTTGAAATAATTCAAATTTTAGCAGTTCTTATAGAAAAACTTTTTTCTACTTATTAAAACTAAAACTAATAAACTTCATAAATGGGCGATTTATAATTTTCTTGAAAGTTGCTCTTATATGCATCTGAATAGAATAATAATATAATAAGTATAAACTTGCAAATACTCGTATTTGTTATATGAGTATAAAATAATAATAATCTCGTAATTAAAAAGTGTAAAGTTAAACTTAATTCTGTCTATTTAATTATAGGGAAAAGTTTGATTTTCTATTTAGAAAATTTAATAAATTCAATCAGAATTTGTGCTAAATAATTTAAAAATTTGAAATCAAAGCAAGTTATTTAAAAAAATTTTTATAATTAATTTTTCGAGTAAAGTTTAAATATTTTCTCTCATATTGGAATAGGGAGGCAAATATTTTTAAAATCAATCAGATAATTCTATTGTTAATGCAGTAAAGCACTACATTTTTGACATAAAAAGTTTTGATTACCATTTGTTATACCTGTAAGTTTATTATTATACTTTATTTCATAAGAATATTTAAAAAAAAAAAAAATTCCATTTTATAATTTTTTTCAATAACTTCTGTATATGTCCATACATAACTGTGTTTTATATTGTATAAGAAATAATTTTGTGAAATATAAAAACTTTCAATTAATTCTCATTAGCAAGTTGATTTCCATTTGCGAAAATTTAGTGTAATTTCAATTAATTTCAATTGAAATTAGAATCAATATTAATTTAAAATTTAATTTATTATATTAGTTAATAGATATATAATAGATAATAGATATATACATAATAGATATATATAATAAATATATACTTCTATGTACATATAAAAATGAGCAGTAGGTGTTACTGAATCAATACTAACATTTTAATATATTGAAGTGACTTTTTTCAAAATTTCAAAAATTTAAAAATTTTCTTAATTAATAATAAAGGAATTTTTAATAATAACATTAAAATTCAGATTTATAAATAATTAACAAAGAATCATATTGAGAGTGTAAATCTCACTGTGTAAATAAATCACTTGCTTATTCTACACTAAATGAAAAGAGAGTGAGTACTAAGTGGCGTTCGTATAAAAAGTATACTTATATAAAATTCAGTTATCATTCAGTCATTCTGAAATGGTATAAAAAAAATGATATATTAAGTAATACATACAGACATATTTAAATTCATAAAATTCCAGCAACAAAAAAATTTAAAATTAATCATATATGGTCATATATTCGATTTAAATTGTGAGTTGATTTTGAGATTCATCGCATAAACTAAAGTTAGTCATTTATAAAAACATTTTCATTTTAAATTCTTTTGCTACTCGTATATATGTAAATAATATTTTCTTTAATTGTAAATAATCGGAAACCTTGTTATATAAATTCTAGTGTTATCAGCACTATTATTTTCCTGTTTTAAACTGTTCAACGTGTTATAATTTCAATTTACACTACAACTCATATTCTTTTAGTTTTAAACTCAGAGAAACGGAAAGGGACAGAGGTAAAGTTTTACTATATATACCTATATAGAAAATAAATTATGAAATGAAGTGGAAAAGCTTCAATAGTGTAAAATAAATAAGTTGAATAAGTCGAAAAAGTAGTGTAGTGTTAAAAATCAGATTAAGTTACTAAACAAGTGAGTACTTAAAAATGAATTATATACAATGTCTATTTATTTTTATTTATGTAACACTCAATTAAGTGGGCTTTATTTTAAAAAAATAAAATCTTATCTCTATAACAATCTAAAATTGCAATAAAATTAAATTTTTTATTTTGTTTTATTTTTTAATTAAATCCCACCATCAGAAAATAATCGTAATATTTTATAGAATTTTACGTCATTAAAATCAAAGTATTCAATTATTTTATCTTTATTTACTTATATAGGCAGTCAAATCTACATCAGTATTATATTAAGCCACATTTATGTATATATTAGTTTATATTTTATTTATTAAATTAATTATTATAAATACATATACATATTTTCACTTATGTATATATATATACATTTATAATGATCACGATTATTATGATTAATTCAGGTTAATTCACCTTTGATGGAAATATGAGCAAATTTGAATGTGAAATTTGCAATTAATTTATTTCAATCTATTTTAATTTTTGTTTTGAGATTTAATTGCATATAAAAGTATGTGTGTACAATAATTGTTCATTTTTACATTTATTGCAATATTAACTTAGATTTAAACATAACTAGATTCTGTAAAGATAAAGTGATATGTTTTTTTTTTTTATAAAATTGAAGTAAAATAAGATAATTATGATATTAAATTTTTAAAAATTGCACACAAAAAAGTTATGTGTAATTTGAATAACTTTTTGTTTAGTGTTATAAAGGTCATTTTATAACATTTATAAAATACAAACACAGAAAAAAAAATGGACGTCAAGTTAAAAATATAAATTAAAAGTCAAAGTTTAATAATAATTAGTACGTTTTTTTTTTATTTTGTATTCCTTTAATATTATAAATCTTTTGCTATATAAAAAAAAATAATTAGGGGAATTGGGAATATAAAAGTTGACATACACACGGTGTGAGCGAAAAATTTATAGTAGACATACTTATATATTTATTTATATATATATATATATATATATATATATATATAAATGTTAATGGTCTTATAACCTTTTTTAAAAGTTTTAAAATTTTTGTTGAAATTATGCAGATATTTAACTATATTAATTAAATTATGTAAAGATATGCAATCAGAAAAAATAGTTCTTAAAATAAAATTAATTTTAAGATTTCCATTTTAAATTTTTAGCATTGATTCTAACTAGTACCGTACTTTGCAGAACTTTAAAATGAAAAAAATACTTTATTTGACCTTAAATTTAAAATTATTTGTTTAAATAATTATGATATTGAACAGTTTTCAATAGAAGAACTAAAGTAAGGCGTTTAGAGCTTTCAGTATAAAAACCGAATATCTAACACGTCACTTCTCTTCAATTCATAATTCGTCGGTAAATTTTTGTGGTTAACCGAAATAAATTATTTTATCACGCTCGAAGATGGAATTACGACAAAAAAAGTGGAGAACCGGATAATTTCTCGTTTGTTAAAAATTCTAGCGCTTATATAATGCACAATTCATATCACCTACTATCACATTGTAAGTTGATTTTCCCAAAAAATTTTTGAATAGAAATTTAAAAAATTTTTCGATTTTACGAATTCAATTCGTTTTTCGAAAATAAATTTTTC